ATTTAGTGACCAAAAAACTATAAAGTATGTGTAGTGAAAAAAATATACACTTAACAATCATTAAACTATGTTGTATAATTGTGGAGTGTATTAGAGTATAAATGTCTAGTGTGTATAAATGTTTAGTGTGTAGAGGAAAAAGTATAAAATTTAAATCATTAAACTATGTTGTATAAACCTAACTTGTTAAGTAACTATTTTAGCATTATGATATATCTGTCAAGCCCGTATATTTAAAAGAAGATGTTTGTTTTTTAAATTTGTTTTTGTCCATATTACTTTATTTACCTTATACTACTGTTATTTTTACTTAACGAATTTTTTTAATAATAAAAAAAAAAAAAATTATTACAAAAATTCCTTATTTACTATTTTGATAAATTACTAAAACTAAAACCCACCAGAAAATATTGTTGTGAACAGATATAATGATTATTTTGGGAGACTATAAATTTGATTTGATAACTAGTAATTATCAAATCAAAATTATCACAAAGTATAATGTTTTCTGTATACTAATAATAACAATAATAACAGTAACAATAACAATTTACAGAGTTGAAATTTTACATACTAAAGAAGTATGTTCCATATGAAGATATTAGTTAAACTACTCCATATTTGTCAACATGCGCACGATTTATTACCTTTAACTTCTAATACCTTCATATAGAAGTATCTAAAAAATTTAACTCTGTGAAATATTATTATTTGAAACAAGAAAACACAGCAACTTTGAGGATTATTCATGTATATGAATAATTCCTCAAAATTCCCGACTTGATAAAATTATTTGTTTTCCCTAATCCATAATGGTAGACTTATTTTCCGATATTTGTGACGTAGCTCCGACCCGAAGGATATATATATATATATATATATATATATATATATATATATATATATATATATATATATATATATATATATATATATATATATATATATATGTATATGTGTGTGTGTGCAAATATTTCATTTCCCTACAATATACCATATTTGTTCATATTTTAACTTAAGGTAACTTTTACTTAGGTTATATTTTTAAGGTAGCCTTTATTCAAGTTATATTACATAAAGGTTACCTTTAGGTGAACTTTATTTTTTTAATAACCTAACATTAAAATAACTTTGTTTTTTAAACCTTTAAGGTTTAAAAAATAAAGTAAATCAACATAATGTTGGGTTATTTTGAAAACAAATTTTAAGTTGTTTTATAATTGATGCTGCAAAACAAGCTTCATTTCAAATAAAAATGTAATTGATTCTCTAAATTATTTTTCAATCCAAATTACTGAAAAAAAAAAGTTTTGGAAATTTAAACTTAATGTAAACAATGAATAGTTTTATGTATCCACATAAAAAACATGATATAAGTAATATGTATTTAATTGAAAATTCGACATAAACAACTAATTTATGTATTACATAACATTAGTTGTTTAATAATCGTCAACAACTTGTCAATATTCAACCGGTTATAACTGATAACCGGTTAATCGACATATAATAACCGGATTTTTCAATTAATAGCTTTAATAATAACCTTGGTTATTACACCAAAAAGAAATAATAAGGGGACTGCAGCCGTATTCACATCCCTCCGTTAAACCCTGCGATAAGCTATCGGCTGGTTAAAAGCAAAACGGCAGTTTTTAACGCCAGCGATAAAATAAACTCGTATTCTAATGTCTCCGTTAAGTTAACGGCTGGAGAAAATTTAGTTATCGGAAGGCTGTTAATGCCAATTTCTAACCCTGCTTTGCCCTTCTGTTAAAACTTCTATCGGAGAAATTTTCTTTTATATTAAGAAAAATAAAAAAATGGTATCCAAACAAAACAAGCTTATCGAGTTTTCCTCATTAATAACTGTTAGATAAACTGTTTATTATTAGTTTTACTAGAAATAAATAAATTTGCTTTTATGCAAAATAAGCTTTATTATTTAAAAATATATTATATATTATGTTATAAAATAAATTATATTTTAAATTATAAAATTTTTTAAAATATAATATATATTATATTATAATATAAAATATATTATATTTTATGCTAAATAAGCTTTATTATATAAATACTATAATGTATTTTAATTAGACATTTATTGAATTTTATAATAAATACATTCATTTATCATGAAATCAAATGAATTTTGTTTAACAGTATATACTATTACGAGCGCATATTTATATATGTACGTACGTATGCTACATGTACGTATATATGTATGTACGTACATATGTATGTTACATACTATCATACATAAATACATGGATATATACATACATAAAGTATGTAGCATAAGATAATTGTTTCCTACTTGTTTCTTATCTGTTTATGTATTACACACACACACACACACACACACACACACACACACACACACACACACACACACACACACACATACACACACCTACACACACATACCTACACACACATACACACACACACACATATATATATATATATATATATATATATATATATATATATA